TGCTGCTCCACAGGTTCCCACAGCAGGGGCAGCCCAGCCCCCATCCCCTCTCCCCCTCAGCCTGCACAGCGCTGTCACTGCTGGGCTCAGCCCGGCCCCACGCTCCCTGTGGCTGCTCTCCACACGTCCGTGCTGCAGGGACCCACAGCACCACAACAGCTTCGTTCCTGCACAGCACAGTGACAGGCACACCCTGTGCTACCGAAGGGGCCCTTGCCAGCAGCACAGCAGCAGCTGCCCCTGCCCTGAGCCCCATCCCATTGCCACACGCAGCATTTCCATGCACTGCTGAGCAGACCCAGCACAGCTCTCCAACAGCAGCTGCACACTGAGCTGCCAGCTGTAGGGACCCAGCCATGTAGGTATCTGCCACCACTCACTGTCACACAGTGAGGGACTGCCCCATCCTTCTCCTTGCCCCATCCTTCTCCTTGCCCCAAAGAAAAGATACCCTCATCACTTTGATCTCATAAAGCAAAGAAAAACCGTTTCCTTTCTGCATGTGCTCACTGTCAGCAAATCTCCACAGCTGAGCTGCATGAGGAGCAGCCTGCAAGCACCCAACATGCTGCAGAGATGTAGCAGCACCCCTGGGCAGGATGGGCACCGTGCCCACTGACTGGGATTCCTCAGGGAATGGTGGGACAGCAGGAAACTGCTGCTAAATTGCAGTGTCCTGTGCAGGTGCCCCATGCCTGATATAACCCATCTGCTGCCATCCTGCTGGGCAGGTGCACCTGGGAACATGGAGGGACAGCAACAGCACTGCTCCTGGCAGCTGTGTTTAATGAGGTAACTGAATCCTGACATTGTCTGCTGTCAGCCCTGCATGAGGAACAGCTGAGCAGCACTCAAGGCAACATTCAAAGGCCTTTTGGGCTGGTGCTCGGGTCCATTGCTTCTTGAAAGCTTTTATTTCTTCTCATCTTAAAAACTGAAAATCACCCCCTGCAGACTCAGCCCTTATAGGGTAGGTAGCAGGCAGCAGGCATAGTGCTCCCAGTTTTGTATCCCTTTGCTGCACTGTGGGCACAAACAACAGCGCTACGTGGACGCGGTACTGCAGGGATGGAGCTCCATCGGCAGCTCCTTGGGCTCCCCACCTTCCCCTCCCCAAGAGCAACTCCGGTCCCAGACCACAAAGCCATTGCCACGCTGCCTCTGTCTGCATGCCTGGCTCCACATTCCCACCTGGCTCCACGTTCCCATCCAGCTCTGTGCCCCCACACAGCTCCATCCCCGCTGCAGCTGCCCAGCACAGGGCACACACAGCACTGTGAGTGGCATCAGAGCGGTGTGTGGGGACGTGGCCGCTGCGGTTCCTCATCCCTGAGCAGGGCTGGGGGGCCGCTCGCCCTCCCACGGGCGCTGAGCCATGTGCTGTGCCTGGGCTGTGGGTGGCAGGAGGACAAGCTGTTAGCATGAGAGCTATAATTTGCAGCTGCTCACAAGTGGCACCCCCTCTCCCTGCCCTCCAGGATCCAAAAACAGCACGAAGGGTCCCTCATTTCCTGAAGGAGGAGGCATGTGGCACCCACCCGTGCTGTATATAGCGACAGCAGCTTTTTATAAACCCCACAAGGTGCTGCAGCCCATGTCCTGTTGCCCAGCTGCCCACACACACTGTGACCCTGCACACTGCTGTGGCCCCACGGAGTGCAGCCCGGAGCTGACCTGGGCTTGTGTAGTTACTGTGTCATAGTCACAAGAACTCCAAATGCTCAGCAGATACAATATGTGAAATTCAAAGCTGATGGAAGGAAATGCTGTTTCCACACTTCTCCTCCACAGTGGCTGACCTGGCCAGACAGAACCCTGCTCAGTGCAGGGCTGCTGCTGGCAGGGACTGCGGGGATGAGCTGGGACTGCAGCCCCTGCAGATGGGCATGCAGCCCCTCAGTGCTGCTCCTCTGGAATGTCCCTTGCAGGTTCCCAGCGCTGCGTGGTTCCCTGCCACACAGGTTCAGAGCAATGGAGCCCCAGAGGAGCAGCACACGGCTTCATCCAGCCCAGAGCTAATTACAGCATCAGCATCAAGCACAGACTTCCTAAATGAAAGGGAAGGACCAGCAGCTTCGCAGCTCTGCCTTTGTGCTTTAACCCCAGTTATGAGGCAAATGATAGAGCTCTGTGGGACGGTCTGAACACTGAGAAGCAGGAAAGCTGCACAGCCCAGCCCCAGACTGGGCACTGGTCTGCTGACTGGCCTCATCCTTGAGCTCCTCCATGCAAAGTGGGGGGGTGACACGCAGCCCAAGGGGCGTTCCGCAGCTGAATTAGTATTTGCAAAGCACTTTGAAGATTTAAGCAGTTGTGTAATGCTAAGTGTTGGAATCATCCATTTTTTATATTGCAGCAAAGCCTAGCGACTGCAATCAGGATCAGAGCCTCTCTGTGCCAGGCAGGGCAGCTGGAAACTCCTGGGCAGGAGAGCGGCCACCTGTGTCTGAAGGGCTCGTGGTGCACAGCAGGCAGGGAGCTGCGTGGACGCTGCTGGGGGCAAAGAAAGAGCTGCCCCAAGCTGCAGCGCGTGGCAGCGCTCTCAGGCGATTGCCAGCACTATGCCTGCCTTCAACAGACTTGTTTTGCACAGGATAAAGAGCAGCCCTCAGAGAGCCCCCAGACACTGGAGCTGGTTCCTGGCACCTGGCACCCTGCTCCTGCCCTGGCCTTGAGAGCCAGCACAGATAGAACCCAGTGGGAGCGCAGCTGGGACTGGCCAGGATGTGGTCAGGATGCAGCTGGGATGTGCTTGGGATGCGTCTGGGGCCAGCTGGGATGCAGGGCAGCAGTGATTCACCCGTGCCTGTGCAGCACCCACAGATTTCCATGGAAATCCACCATGGGCAGGAGAAACGTGTGGTGAGGTGTGCAGGCTTCTCGTAGGAGCTTTCAGTCCCACCCAGTGACCACAACTAGTTCAAATCAGGACTTGGGAAAAGTTAAAAGAATTTTTAAAGGACTCGTGAACAAATTGCATCTGAGAGCAGCGCTACCTGCGAGCACAGACGCAGCTTTCAGCTTCATCCCCACCAGCTCCCAACTTCATGGTATTTTGTAATTCATTTCCAGTCAGACGAAAATACACCGTGTGCCTACGAACCACAGAGCAGAAATAGAGAAGCAAATGTAAAAAAAAACCAACAAACACGACAAAAACCAGACTTCAAAACCTGTTCTCAATATGGCTGATGTCACACATTGCATCTTAAAGCAGCAGCCTGGCACAGGATGTTGCTCCCAACGACATGCATTACAAAGTGTGCGCTGTCAGCCGAGCGTGGATCAGCGTATGACAGACTACAAAGAAATACCAAAGTAAATGGAGACCTGAGATGAAACGGAGTGAAGTAATTGTTTCTGTGCGTTATCCTGAAGATGTCAGTGCTTAATTCAGCCAAATGGCCACCATTTGAAAGAAATTGCTCTGACAAAAACACACTGTGCGGAAAAATCATTGAAAGAAGAGCATTTACTGTATCTGCTGAATATTTCTGGAAATAGCCCTCCTCAGAGAAGTGAAGTGTGTCCTGCACTCACCAATCATTGCATTGTGTGTAAAAGCACCAAATAGAAATAAACTCTTCAGATCTACAATTGTTTCCTCTAACTCATAGGCTGCACACAGCTGAGATTGCGGCCATCCCTGCAGCAGCGGTTGGTGCTGCACAGGGAGCTCCCAGCAAGACAGCAAATCCCTCTGGGCTAAAGCCTGGGAGTGCAGTGTGCCCAATGGGCCCAGAAATGGAGGCGTGCAAAATAAATCTCATTGAACTGCAGCTTCCCATCTCTCTGTCCCCCTGTGAAAGCCTTGCTGGGTGGGTGCGGGTGGAGGCGGCCCAGCATTTGGAGGGCTGTGTGAGTGTCACAGTGCTGCAGGCAACAGCACCCTCCTGGGCATCATCAACCCATCACCGTGCAGGGAGGACGTGGGCACAGCTGGGGTTGCTGGAGCCACCGCTGGGACTCATGTTGGGACACAGAGCCGCATTGCTCAGGCAGCACAAGGCCGGGTTCTGCCATCCCCAGCAGCACCCCGGGCTTGCTCAAGCATCCACAGCTCAGAGCCTGGGAGCAGCGCTGCCGGTGCCCAGCCCTGGCCCAGCTGTGTGTGAGGGGGTTCGTAGCCATGGGCACCCCATGACCGAGGCAGGGAGAGCCCCAGCAGTGAGAAGCTCACACCCCCAAACCTCCGTATTCACACACCATCACCAGGGGAGGTTTCGGCACTGGCGGCACTGCTCTCACCTGGCCAGCACACGGGAGCTGCTGCTCTCCCACAAGCTGTGACTTGAGCCCAGAGCCGCCCGCCCGAGCGCAGCCAGCGCAGCCCCGAAGGAGCCGAACGGGTTGAGTGACTTTGTGCTGTGGGAGGAATAATCTCGCTGAGCTGCGGGAGCTGAGGCAACCTGGCGGGCGAGGACGTCGGCACAGAGTTTCCCCACGTCCCTCCAAGGTAAAACGGGATCGTAGTTGTGTTCGGAGGGCTTTTTATAGAGCTGCTGTCAAAACCGGTAGGCAGAGAGCTTAATTAGGACCGATCTTGGGAGCGAGGCTGTGCATGGGTGTGCGAGGGGCCGCTTGGAGCCGGAGCCGGGAGTAAACAGCTCAGGCTGATCTTATCGGGCTGCGCCCGCACCGTGCCGCGCCGCCAGGCGCCCGCAGAGCAGCGCAGGGCCGGAGCTCCTCGGGGTGCTGCCGGGACGGTGCGCGCCCTGCCCCACCGCGCGGTGCCACGCGGGGCTGCTGGGCACGGCCCCCTCGCTCCTGAATCAGCACTGACTCACCGCAGCTTGGATGGGAGTGCTAAGTAGGCATTTGCAAACGGGCTCGTGAGGCGCTGCCTTGCCGTGTAGGTGGGATGCGGTACAGGCTCCAGCAGCCGAGCTCCGCTCTGATTCCTCCTCCCCTCCGCGCAGGGTGCCTGCCTCAGCCCGACGCCCGTGCCCGTGCCATGCGGGCGTCTCCGGCACGGCCGTGACGGCAGCTCGGTGCCGACGATGGACGACCTGGCTCTGCTCGACCTGCTGGAGTGCCCGGTGTGCTTCGAAAAGCTCGACGCCACGGCCAAGGTGCTGCCGTGCCAGCACACGTTCTGCAAGCCCTGTCTGCAGAGGATCCTCAAGTCCCAGAAGGAGCTCCGGTGCCCCGAGTGCAGGACGCTCGTCCTCTGCGGCATCGAGCAGCTGCCGGCCAACCTGCTGCTCATCCGCCTGCTGGATGGTGTCAGGTACGGGCAGAATGCGCCCCGCTTTGGCTCCATGCAGCGCTCAGGGCTCCTGTCCTCCCCCGCCTGCATCCGCAGGGCCCCGCGGGGTCTGCAGCTCGCCCAGCACCGGCCGCCCACCGCCCCCAGGAGCCTCACGGATGGGGTAAGCAGCGCCCGCGCTCGTCGCTGTGTGAGCACACAGCTCTGTCCCTGCGTGCCGGGGTGCCAAACTGCCGTGGCAGCAATGCTGCACGGATGTTTGGAGTAAGAGAGATTGTTCTTGTGTTTGCAAATCCGGCCGCTGTTTTCCTTGTGATATTTCTGTTTGGAGCTCATCATAGCAGTAACTGCGCTGAGCCCCCGGCTCAGACAAATGCAGATTGCCTTCCTCTTTACACAAACTTTGCTGCTTTTCTCTGGAGCTTTCAGGTCCCTCCTGACTTTCAGGGGGCGTTTCTGATGCTTTAACTTTCAGGCAACTCACTGGGTGTGTTAGCCATCAGATCAATCACTGCAGGGCAGTAACTATCAGAGATGGAGAGAGGCATCTCAGTTTCCTCAGAATCAAAGAGGAAGGTAAAGGGACATTTGAGTCCCTAGCAAAACACCTTGAGATTCAGTGAACTCTACTTTCATCTAGGGAAGCTTTCCTCAGATAATTTTAAAGCTGCAAGCTGTTCCTGTCATTTTCTCTAACAGTACAAAAGCTTTTTGGAAATAATTAGGACGTGGCATGAGACCTATGAAGGGAGCCTACCTCTGCCTGAATTTGGGGTTATATTTCTGAATTTCTTTTTCATCCGCCTGCACTACTCTGTACCACATCTCTGATAGCCCAGGGCACCCCTCAGCCCTGCAGACACGGCAGACCTGCAGCAGATCTGTCGCTGCTGTGCCACGGCGGCCCCATGCTTCTGCTTGACTGTGAGCTCTGTGCAGCAGGGATGTGCACAGCCAGGGGCCTCAGTGCCACCAGAGGGTTGTCCCGGCTCCAAGCCAACCTCCTGAGCAGGGAAACATCCAGCACGGCCGTGAAATGCACAGCACAGCACACACCTCAGTTGGAGGGCAGCTCGCCACAAGGAGTGCAGCACACAGGTTGCAGCTTTCCTCTCACCCCTTTCCCATTCCTTTACTGGTGCTCAGGATGCTCAGGGACAGCTGTGGGTGTTGCTCTATGGCAGCTCCCTGCTGGCTCCCAAGCGTTCCCAGCGGTCTCTCGCAGCTCAGGGCAGCACACAGCAGGGTGGCATTGCCATGGTCCAACCCTGAGCCAACTGCCAGGGCCACCAAACAGTGGCAGCCCGGAGAGCCGAGGACCCTGTGCTCAGTCCGGAGTCAGCATCTCTCCGTGGCCTCAGCTAAGGCAGCAGAAGTCCATAATGCTGCGATTACTACTACTTTTACTATTATTATTGTCACCATTATTTAACAAGCACTGCTCTTCCAGAACAGAAATCTGGGCTCACGATTATTTTTAGACTTCTTCTGTGAAAAAGTTTGAACTGAGCTGATTTACTTTTCCTCCAGCATCCTCAAGGCTGTGCTAACACTCCTGGAATGACCCCATTACCAAAATCCCAAAGAGGGGGCAAAAGCACTCACTATCAGCAGTGAAACCAGCCGTCCCACACTCAGGCAGCTCCCGAGCACTCTGATGTCAGCCCCTGTGGCACTGTGCTCAGACCCCAGGAACGTGGCTGTCCCCACCGCCTCATGGGCAGCATATCGTGTCTCCATCCCCACAGGGTGCATGTGTTCCCAAAAGGAACCGTCTGGGTTGGCCGCAGCCATCCAGCAGTTGCTCAGGGAGTGCTGGGATTGCCGCAGGGCTTCCAGCACTGAGGCTGGTCTCCCACGGGACAGCTGCCCCCAAACAAACGCTTGCTCTATTTCGAGAGCCCAGAGAACAGCTCTCTGCATCCTGCTCCTCCACTGCCGCTCTCCTGCTGCTCCCCGGTGCAGCACTCTGTGTGCCGGGAGGTGGTGGGGTCTCCAAAGAAGCACCACCCCACCTGCAGACTGCTGATTGCCATTGGGATGTGCACCACTTCATGCTACAGAGCAAATAAATCTAGCACTGTGCTGCGCTGCAGCCTTGTGCACCATCAAGGCAGGATAGAGGACACATTTTGTTTTACAGAAAAGACCACCTATAAATAAACTTCCTTTACTCCGCGGAGCTGAGAAATCACAAGCTCGAGTGAAGTTTCGCCTCCCAGAGATGCTTTCTTGCCAGCTTGTTGCATGATAAAAACACCAACTAAATCCCCAAAGCAAACCAAAGATCCGCACCTCTTGGCGTGCAAAATTACCAGCAGCCCCAGCAGAGCTGCAGGATTGCTGGGAGCACAGCACACAGGCTGCAGCCAGGAGCTGCAAGGAGCCAGGAGTTCCAGCTGCAGCCCATCCTGAGCTCTCTCTTACCACCCATCAGCTCCCCTCTCACCGTGCCATGCCCAGCCCAGCTGGCTGCAGGTGGCAGTGCTGCAGGGTGCTGCACAGGAGGCGGCCCAGGGAGGTCTGCCTGGGCCCCGGGACTTCACCGTCTGTGTTGAGGACAACACTTTGGATTTTCAGGATCTCCACGTAATAAACCGTCTGGAACTCAGGAATGAAAGCATTTGCTAGGAGGTGAACGCACAAATAATTGACACCGAATCCTTTGAACTCCTCGGAGCCGCCCCTACCATGTGCAGGATGCGATTCTTGCTGCACCAAAGCATCCCTTTACCCGGCCCCAGCCCGGACACGTGGGCAGCAGGAGGCTGCATGCTGCAGTGCAGCACCCCCAGCCGGTGCCCACGCAGGGCAGCGACAAGTGGGAGCCAAGGCAAGGCAAGGGCTCTGAGCCCTGCAGCTGGCCGGGACAGCACGCCGTACTGCCTCACCTTCAGCTGCTCCCTGCAGGAACCACGCACTGCAGCCGCCCCTCCTGCACGTCGTGGGAGATGGGCAGATAACAGCTCTCCAGGATAAAAATACTTCGCACTCCAACGTTGCCACCTTCACATGGGCACTATATATAGAGCCCGCGCTCGGTATTTTCTGCTCCTCCAGAAACATCTCCAGCTCCTTTCTGAATTTGACAGACAGGATTTGGATTGCTGGATCTTGGTGAAACCTCACTCAGAGCCACCCTCGTGGCTGCACCCAGCAGGGGCAAACACATTTCTGACCCAACTGCAAAACCTCCTGGAAGAGGAGAGCCGGTCACCGTGCTGTCACAGGGCTGTTGTGCCAGGCACTGAGCCGCGGGGGGAATCCCAGCTCCATGCAGGGCCAGCCCGCCCCAGGCCATTTCCAGCTGCACAGTGCAGGGCTGCACTTTGCTAAGCGTGGGGTCTGGCGATGCTCTGGGAGAAGAGATTTGCCCCAATTCACTTCCACTACTCCCATCAGGGTGACCCAAGTGTCAGTCTTTGCCCTGTTCACCACTGCATGGTTTTTCCTCCTCTGCACATGGTTTTAGCTTCTTGTGTCCATAGTAGAGGTCAGCCACATCAGTATCCATCACCCAACAATGCATACCCCAGAGAGCTGCATTCAACAGCACTGTGCTCAGCTGCGGCCGTGGAGCAGAGCTGGAGCTACACACAGCGTGGCACTGGGGCATCCATCTGTCCTGGGCAGCGGCAGCCACAGGCAGAACAGCACCATGGAGCCACGGGGCAGGCAGGGTGCCGGGTTCCCCATGCAGAGCCCACACAGCACTGCGTGCCTCCAGCACCCAGGCACAGCAGGGCCGGGCACTCCTGGGCCGCTCTGTGCAGGGCACCGGGACAGCGGCAGGAGCCAGTTTCCCTGGTTCCACAAAATGAGGTGCTGAGCTGCAAATACATGAAAGTGTTTTAATTTGTTACCAAGGCAATGAGTCAGACTCAGATGGCGAGTCAGGAATAGAACAGCAGGATTTCTGCAGGGTAGCGCGTTCACCTCTAAGCGCCGTGGTCAGCGAGGAGGCTGAAAGTCTGAGGCTCTTCGCCGCCGCTGCCTGCTGTCACCTGGCTGCCACTCGGGCACACACAGCTCAGCACCTGGATGGGCTGTGCTGCACTCCCTGGCACGGGCACTGCGACAGGCACACTCACACTGGCTCTGCCAGGCAAAGCTCAGCAGTGCCCAAGAGGAGCACGGCTCGAGGCAGTGACAACACCAGCGCCGTGCTTCAGGCTGAGCCTTCTCTCACTCTGCTTTACCTCTCCTCTGCTCTCCTCACAGGGGAATCTGCAGTGCTTGTCCCTCAGTGCAGCGATTTGCTCTGCTGTTACTGATTTTCAGGTACTCAAACTCCACTTAGCCTCAGGAGCTCACTGTGCGAGGCACCGTACAACTGAGTGATGACAAATTTATATGAAAACTTCTTCCTGGTGACCTGAAAGTGGGTGATTGAGCCATTGATCTTTCCATTCCTTTTCCTAGCTTTCCATTCCTGGCCTGGGGAAGACCCCTCTTCTACCAATGCCAGTGCCAGCTTGGGCACTATTTCTGAGAGACAAATATCTTTCTTGTGGAAATCAGATCCCTTATGAGGTTTTCCTTTGGGTTCAGAACAACTGGGAACCCAGAAGTTCTGAATGGTTTTGCAGGGAAGGGAGAGCAAGCCTTGCCTGCTGGGAAACCACATCTGCTGGGATCATGCATACCTTGGTTTCAGAGGCAGTCAGACTCCTTTTGGAAGTGGAAGCACAGGAGGAGGAGGAGAGCAGCTCCTTCATCTGGCTGCAGGCCTGGGCTACAGCAAGTGCAACCAAGGGCATGTGGGCAGTGATTGTTCCAGGCCTGGCCCACGGGTCAGCCAAGGGCAGCGCATCACACATCACATATAGCTGAAAACTTACCATCACAACATCTGCTAGGCAGAGGTCACAGAGGAATGGAGAGATGCACCATCCTTAAGCGAGCACTTTGCTGAAATAACATGAAAGCAAGGCTGCCATTGCAGGGCAAAAGCAAAGTGCAGAGCACTAGCAGGTTTAATGAGAGGCAAGGACTCAGCACGGAGACATCGGCTTCCTGCAGCCTCATGAGCCACCGCCTCAGCCCCTCCACAGCTCTGGCACTGCTGCACAGCCCTGCCCTGCCACGGCCCGATGGGCACAGCGGACAGCACTGCAGCCAACGGGGACACGCACGGGTGGGAAGTGGAGAGCAGCAGTGCTGTGGTTCCTCCCCGCATGGCAGGCAGGCACGGCGGGGCCACGTGGTCCCACAGCAGCACATCGTGCTGGGGCACGCCAAGGGCTGACATATTTGTTTTCCATGCGGCTGAAAGCCGTGGCGCGCAGCGCAGCCGCCATCGCAGCGTGCTGAGTGCAGCACCGACAGCCAGCTGAGAGCAGCCACGTACAGCAGGGGGGGACCCCAAAGACAGAGCGGAGCCCTGGCCCTGCTCCAGCTGTGGGTCCCAGCTCAGCCCTCAGCCCCACATCGCTGCCAGCTCTGTCTGCACCGAGGAGCACAGCTCTGAGACAAGGCCGGGCGCAGGTGGAACGCCTGCATTGTTGCATCTTGGCACCGGCTCTGCTCACCTCAAACATCTCTTGTGGCTTTATATCAGCCAGGTGAAGCCTAATATGGCCTTGTCCTCTGCCACAGCTGCTGCGGCAGCTCCACAGAGCCTCAGGGCCGGGAGCGGCAGCTCTGAGTCACAAACTGCTGCAGAGCCCTCGATAAGGGCTGCTCTATGCCTCCCGACATCACTGTCCCTATTTTCCATTCCTCCCTGCAGCCTGAAGCCACATCAACAGCAGGCACTGCTCAGAAGGGGTTTGATCCCGAGGGCTGTGGGCCTGCAGGACACGGCTGCTCTCCCCACTCTGCTGCCCCTCGTGTGTGCAGGCTTCTCTGCGACCCCTCCTCACATCCTCACTCGCCCTTCAGTTTCAGAGCTGTGGGCCGTGTTCCCACGCCTGGCTGCGGCCTCGGGCTTGTGCTTGCAGCCCCCCACACTCACAGCCCCTATGCTTGCAACCCCCCTGCCCCACAGGAACGCAGACCCGGCCTGGCGCTGGCTGGAAGCGGCTGCTGGCACCTGGCGGGTGGGAGCAGACCTGGGAGGGGAACTCAGAAACCACAGCCGTCTGAGCCGTCAGACGTAATTACCCGAGGAGATGGGAGCGACGGGTTTGCTACGGATGGCTTTGTTCCGTGACGAGGCGGGAGTTATCTCCTCCGCCGAATAGCAGAAAAACAGAATTGCGATGGCAATTAATTTACATTCAAATAGCTCCTTTCATCCGGCCGGATCCCGAAGAGCCCCGAACACCGCGCTGCCACAAAGGAGACGGGCAGGGCTCGTCCGTCGCACCGAGGGCGGGCAGCGCCTCGCTGGAGGCTCCTGCGAAGGCCGCCGCGGTTGGGACACGGCGCTGATGGCGATCGGCCTCCGCGCAGCGCAGCTCCGCCTGCACAGAACGGGCCGGGAGCGGCGCGAGGCGCTGCGTGCAGCCCTGCGGAACCGACGGCTGCACGACGAGCCGCCGTCCCGGAGATCGCAGCGGGGGAGCAACGAAGTTGGAAGATGCCCAGGGCTGGATTTCTTCCTGACAAAGATTGGCGCTGTCCTAGAAATAAACCTCTCGACGAGGCTGCTGGGCGCTATGGGAATATCGCTGCACGGCCCGGATGCGGCGGCGGCTCCGCAGGCAGCGCCCACCCTGCCGGCGCCGGGCGCGGGGCGTGCATCGGCTCTGCCGGCACCCAGCTGGACCCCGATGCACACGTTCCTCTTGATATCTCGGTGCTGTGAGGCTGTACTCACGTTCACCCGCTGTCAGTAGCGAGGAGGTTATAACGAGCCCATTGAAGATAATTACAGCGCACATTTCTCCCAGCTATGAGGAGATGCTTTCAATCGCTCCCTTACGCTCGCATGCATGTATTCAATTTGTGTCTTTGTTTGCTATGGAGGGAGACTCAGACGTGTTGGATGGCTGCCTGGCGCAGCTGATGCCAAATGCCGAAAATAATTAAACAGTTCTCTCTCCCTTCTCAGCCTCAACTCCATCGGGTGGGAGCAGTCACCCACAGCACAGAGGGCAGGGAGGTGCTGTGCTGCTCCTGCTGTGGGTGTCCCCCAGCAGACCAAAATTCTGCATAGTTTTGGGATGCTAAAGAAGCACAGAAGCACTAACATTAACAATCAGATGTCTGCATCCACAGGTTCTGCAACAAGTTCCCATCCTCTGGGAGCAGTTCTGCCTTCCAGGAGCTCTTGCAGAAGAGCAGGAATTGTTTGGGGCACGATGACCCCTTCCTCACCCCCCAGGGCTGAGTTCTGCACAGACATCCCCATCCCATCCCACTCAGCACTCTGTTCTGGCCCACATTTCTGTCTGATTAAAACTAATTTTATAGAGGGTCCGATTGTCCTTCCTCTTGCTGAAGGAAGAACATTCCAGACTTCTCAGCACCGTCGCTTGTTTGACTTTTCCCTGTAGTAACAGGTTTGCATTTCATTTCAGAGTTTCTCTTATTTTCAATACATTTCCATAACTTGTTCTCGGTTCCTTTTATGTTTGGCCTTACTTTGCTGTGCAGCCACTCTCTCATCATCCCCGGATGTTTGTGTTCCTCCTCTACATGCCTGCTTCCACAGTTTGCATGGGTCCTTTTGTTTTGCTCCTAACACAAGTGCTACCTGTGCTGTGTCCTGGGCTGCCCCGTGCTGCTGTGAGCCCCTGCTCCCTGTGCTGCACAGGGCCGTGCACTGCCGTGCCTTTGCAGGGTGTTTCCTCGGGCAGCACTGCTGCTTCTTGACTTCCAGCCCAGGCACTGAGTGGGGATGGCTGAGCGAAGCTTTCCTGAATGTGATTGTTGTGATTTCCCTTTTTTTTCACCGATGCACTTTCAGTGTTACTAAGCCAAGTGCATGTGTTTACTATTACTGCAAATTAACAGACAAGACGAGTCAATTAGAACAAAACATTAAACTAATTGCTTCCTGTTCCAAATGCTTTGAAGAAAATGCAGCACATGAAATGTTTCTCCTCCTGGTTCCTTTCTCCTCCTGTCAGCATTTGGGAGCACTGGAAGATGTTTTCTTCCCCGGACTGCAATCCTTTCCAGTGCTTCTTTGGTCACCCCAAACAAACCAGTGCTGTGTTTTTCTCCCCCCCTTCTTGCTCTCCCAGGGGTCCGGGCTGGGCAGGTGGTGCGGGGACCATTCTGGGGAGCTGATGTGAGCCCAGATGGAGCTCACCTGACACACGATGGGACGTCAGTGTCCAAATACAGCCTGTGCTAAAGTAGCAGAGTTATGTGACCGATGCCCCGGGAGGATGCTGGTACCCCAGCTCTAAGTGCTGCCATCCTAGCAGCACCCCATGGAAGGCAGCTCCATCCATAGGCGCAGCACAGCTCTGCTGAGCTGCCACGCTCCGTGCGACGGACGAGCCCTGCCCGTCTCCTTTGTGACAGCGCGGTGTTCGGGGCTCTTCGGGTTCCGGCCGGATGAAAGGAGCTATTTAAATGTAAATTAATTGCCATCGCAATTCTTTTTTCTGCTTTTCGGCGGAAGAGATAACTCCCGCCGCGACAGGGCAACGTTACAAAGCACTGAAAGCACGAACAGGGGCTGCTCTGTTGTTTTAGGATGTGCTGCTGTGGGACTCAGCACTGTGTTCAAGGATCTCCATCACTCCTCCACAGCACTAAAAGCAAGCCTTCCAGTTTGCTGATTTCCAAAGGCACGTCTCGGATTGCTCAGCAGAGCACAGACACACTGCAGGATGGGCACCTGCTGCAGATCAGCTGCCAGACCCCCCCCAGCAGTGTGGCCAGGGTGGGCCTGCCTTCATTCAGAGCAACGGTCTGCTGCCTGTTGTGTTAAATTGAGTTTTCTGGTGTGGATAAAGGTCAGGGAGGCTGTTATTTTAAATGCACTTTACGGGTTTATTTCGATGACGGTCAGGATGCTAAAGGTCCCTCGCATCTGCTGATTCTGGCATCTCTCTTCTTTCTCATATCGTACTATGACAACAGATTAAGAAGCTTCTCTTCCTGTAACCCAGACTGAGCTCCAAAATCTTAAGGGCTCTTCCCCAGCCCCGTGCTGTTGGGCACTGCAGGTGGCAGCTGCTGGGAGCTGCACAGCTGTTGTCACCTCCAGCCACACCAGAACAGAAACACCCAAATTCATTCCAGGGAGATTTTATTAGAAGGGAGCTTGCAGCAGGCAGTAGGATCCCTTGGGATGGCTACATTAAGGCATGAATTGTTCCTTAATATTCTCAGACAAGTTCAGCCTGCTTTTCATCTGGATACACATTTAGAAGAAGTATTTTGGAGCTCGATTTCATTAGAAAAAGACATCAAGAAAGGATGGGGGCAGTTGGTCGCAGCCAACGCACACTTCAGCCTTGTTATCCCTCTGCCTTTTCCCAGTAATGACAAATTCTTGCCAAGCTGTGCCTGCATGAGCGCCGCTGCCGGCTGAGCTCTGTGCCGTTCCTCGTCCCGCAGGTGCCGCGAGCCAAAGCGCTGTTCTCGTACCGGGGCCACAACCCCGGCGAGCTGCGCTTCAACAAGGGGGACGTCATCGTGCTGCTGCGGCAACTGGACCAGAACTGGTACCTGGGGGAGCTGAACGGCGTCAGCGGGGTCTTCCCAGCCAGCTCCGTGCAGGTCATCAAACAGCTGCCGCTGCCACCGCCTCTCTGCAGGGCTCTTTACAACTTCGACCTGAGGAGCAGGGATAGGAGTGAGAACAACGACTGCCTGTCATTCCACAAGGTAACACCGCCCTGCGGGGGCTGCGCGCTACGGGCCGGGCCGGTGCTCTTCTTTAGATTGCATCGCATTCAGCGCCATAGCGGCTCTGCGCTGAGAGCCAGGAAGGTTTACAGACACTGACAGCAGTGACTAAAGCCGGCTTCCCACGGGGGGGTGCGTGGACTCAGAATGAGAGCATCCTGGGAGAGCACAGTGTGACCCTGAGCAGCCATTTCAGGCCCCGGTTTGACTGATGGAGTTGATGAGCAGCAGCTGCTGGTGGTTTCCCACCAGTGATTTCCCACCAGATCACTGAAAGAGCCTAAAAAGATACCCACTGATATACCAAAGAAAATTGCTTGCAGGTCTGAGAACACTTCTCTTACACAGCCTACACGAATTCAGGCAGCCTGCTGGAGGCACACGCTGCAGAGCAGGACCTGAACTTTTCCTGTATTTCCTTTCATTCCCCAAAGTCTGCAGAGCTCGTGTTTGCTCTCAGCTGGAGGATATGGCTTTCAGGGCAACTGCACCTCCCAGCAGCCAACTGTCACTGTGCTGTCAGAAGGAGGTGAGGCAGTGCAGAGCACAGCAGAGAGCAATGCCTGGAGGCAGCAGTGTCCCTGCAGAAGCCACCATCCCTCCCAGCACAGCACAGATGCTCCTGCACTCCGGCCAGCAGGAAGCAGAAGCACAGGGCAGGTGTGGGCTGCAGCGGGTCAGGGCTGAATGTGGGGTGCATGCAGGGCAAGAAGCCAAAGATCCCAGAGTTCCCTGTGCCTCCTGACCAAGAAGAGGAGCCAGAGGAGAAGCAGTGCAGAGCAGCACTGCACGTAGGAGCACCAAAACCTCTCTGGGATGCCTGCTCCAGTGCTCCGGCTGCACCTGCCTGCTGTGCAGCACAGCTCGAGCTCATTGTTCAGAAGCAGAGCTGACTGTTATGCAGACCTCCAAAAATCTTCCATCTTCCTGTGGCTGCCTGCAACCCTGCAGTGTCCCTGATCTGGCAGCATCTCCATGCTGGGAAGAGCCCCTGCCTGTCACCCCACCTGCCACCCACCCCCGCCATCGTACTTCCAAAACCTGCACTTCAATAGCAGGGGCAATTTCAGCTCCTGAAGTAATGGGCTGAGGGTTGTAGCAGCGTGACACCAACTGCCCCACCACTCACACTGACCTCTTGCTTGGTTTGGAGCTAAAATGCCATCTTTGTTATTCATTCTGGGCATGGTGATTGCAGAGACGTTTCCCCAAGGTGGGAGCCCCCAGACAGCACCTCTGTGTCTCACATCCCCTTCACCAGGCTCGTGCCCTTGTCCGCATTCAGCCACACTTGCACCCTTACACAAAACCCACGCTTGAGCATTGTGCTGAGCAAGGACTTGCGTTTGGGAACAAGGACACACCAAAAGGAGCAGAGGGTTGGCAGGGGAGCAGCACTGAGGTGCAGCATTGTGAAATGTGGGGCGAGCCGCCCGCTAACAGCGCTCTGCCTTGCAGGGAGACATCATCACCGTCATCAGCAGAGTCGATGGCAACTGGGCCGAGGGCAAGCTGGGCGACAAAGTGGGCATCTTCCCCGTGCTGTTTGTGGAGGTGGGTACAGCCCTGGCACGGGACTTTGCAGTGTGGGGAAGGAGGGGGCAGAGCATGGGCAGCAGGCAGAGCCCTCACAGCTGCGCTCTGGACACAAATTGTGCTCCTGTGGTGAGCTGCAGAGTGGGAGTGTGGCACCAACAAGAATTCCTCGAAACAGAATTAACACTTATAATCACCATAATTACAGCAAACACATCTTTGTGGCTGTTTTATAAAAGGGCAGCAGTAGAACGTCCTGTTTGAAGCTCTAATATATTTGGTAAAACATCTTTTCATTTAATTAAATTGTTTTAACTCATTTAAGCCTGACGTTAACAGAAATGAGCCAGGCAGGGCCACGCAGAGCCACCGAGGAGTTAGGAATTAACCATAGAGGAGCAGCGATGTGTCTGCTCTGAAAGGCATGGGGCTTTCCTGGCTTTGATGCTCCCATCCGTGCCCTTTAATGGGCCCTCTGCTCTTAGAGAAGGCAGAGAAGTTGGGCTCTGGCTGCGGTTTAATTGCACAGAGAAATGACGCTATGACCAGCCTGTATGTGTGCATGTGCACACATGATTCTTTTTAAACCTCGCTGTAAGAAGTGAGGAGGAAGGAAATGAACAAATAATCTGTGCAGCAGAATGACAGCACTGAGCAGCAGCTCCCTGCCCCACGCCAGCCGCTGCCATTCATCCCCAGCCGGGCGCATTGCCTCACATGAGTGGGTGAGAATCTCCAAGTTTTGCAATTTGTTCATGTCAGCAGTAAATCATGATTAATTCCTCTGGCAGTCATCCTGGTGAAAAACACTGTCACCACATGCCCTTTGTATTAATGCTGTAGTGATCAGCAGTTTCCAAGAAACACTGCTTAAACGTTGCCTCTGTAAGCTCAGGGCTGGGCCCTTCCCACGAGCTCTTCCAGTGCCATGGGCTGCAGGGGCACAGCGGGCTCCAGCCTTGCTTGCAAGCTGTAGGCAATGGGGGCTCGGTGGCAGCTCCCGGCTGTGTGAGCCGTGTGTTTTCCAAACCAGTTTCAATTTGGCTGCCAGCCCTGCACTGATAATTCGGTGTTCAGAACTTGTTGCTGAAAGCATGGCAGGGAAGCACTCGAGCCCTGTGTTCCACAGATGCCCATGAAGCCGCCTGCGTCCTGCCTGCGGCCGTGCTGCTGAGGAGGACCCGCAGCAGCCCCTGGGCCTTCCCTGTGTCTCTTGCAGCCAAACACGACAGCACGGCAGCTCCTGCAAAGCAGCAAAGGCTCCTGGCCCACCCCGCTCCGCTGCGCACCGCTGAGCGTGGCCTCCCCGAAGGCGCAGGGCCGGGAGCTGCACAAAGCACCCGATGCGCGGCGCAAGAGCCTGCGGCCCTTCTCCATCACCACGGCCCTCAACACGCTGAACCGCATGGTGCACGCCCCTGCCGACCGCCCCGCGCTGCGCATCAGCTCCCCGGTGCTCATCAGCTCCAGCAACCCCAGCGTGGCCGCTGCCGGCAGTGAGGATGCGGCCCATGGGACCCCTGCCCAGGTGAGGCTGCTGCGGGGCGGCGTGGGGCAGGCGGCCAGATGGAGGGCATGCGATGGTTGGACCGGGGGATTATGGCTCAGCGGGCTGCTGGGGACACTTGTGAACAGGGAAGGTCGGTTCTTAGAGCCCAGGGAACCCATAGAAAGTAAGGGACTGGAGTTCCCTCCTCGGAGATCTCCAAAGCCCCTCGACGTGGCCCTGGGCACCTGCTCTGGGTGGCACTGTTGGGGCAGGAGGAGGCTGGGGGGCCCATGGGCCGTGCCATCGTCCTGAGCCCCAGCATAAAAGCCTGACCGAAGCCCCTATTTTGGGAGAACCCATCTGCTGGGCTCTCCTTGGAGGCCGCTGCAGGGCAGGCTTCTGCACGAAGAACAAATGCAACAGTGTGAAAGCACATGCAGGAGCAGTGCCCCACCTCCTGCTGCTTCCAAGCAGCAGTGTCAGCCCTCCTGGAAGTTGGGGTTGCTGCCCTATCCCGAATCCACTGCTGCTGCAGCTCTCTGCTTCCAGACTGATGGCTCCTGCACACTGGCAGTCCCTGGGCAGCCCTCCTGCTCACAGCCACCCAGGGGTGCGGGCTGACCCTGAGAGCGCATCCTCTGCTGGCTGCAGAGGCAAAGAGCCTCGTTGCTGCTTCGTGCTCCATCTGAAGATCTCAATAGAGGATCTTCACAGATCATCTGCAATGGGAGGAAAAAGGTTCTGCTTAGATTTATGTGGCATCTTTCACACTGAAGGCTGCTCCAACATTTTATAAAGCAATAAGCCAGCCCCCGGCACTTCGGTGTCCGCACAATAAAACCCAGCAGGCATTTTGTGCTTAGCATTAGCCTGCAAACAGCCCTGGATATTAGGCCCTCTTTTATGTGAGTGGAAATGAAGCCCTACAATAGAACCATAATTCAATTGAAATGGTACTGTGTCTCATGACCCCAATATAATTTTACCAAAAGTGTCTTGGTGTGAGCTATTGTCAACAGTGTAAGTAGCAGCACAGATGCGTTGATGTGCTGCCTGTTCAGGTTTCCTTCCTTCTGAACAACCATTTTTCTTTGGGGACACACAGGGGTCTGTGTGCTGTGCATCAGTCAGTGTGTGAGCACAGCACCCAGTGAGGCACAGCCGCAGCGCTGGGGTGGTGCTGGGGGGTGGGAGATGTTGGGAGTGGGAGCCCAGAAACATAACAGAAGAGGCAGCAGTTCCAGGAGGGGTGCAAGGGCTGTGGGAGCGGTGTGGAGCAGTGGCAGAAGGATGCTGGAAGGTCTGGAGGGGCTGTGCTTCCAGGCACATCAAGGTATGAGCAGTGCCAGCCTATGATGCTTTACTGTCTCCTGCCCGAAACGTGATTACTGTCCTGCTTTGTAGGCTGTGAACCCTACTTTCCTAAGTGCCAGTGAGAAGCATTGACTGTAACTTGATTCTAAAACAGGTGCCTCACACTGGGTCCCTGTGCTGTTCCCAGAGCACTGTCTTCTAAGCAGACAAATTGTTTCCCTTTCTTTCCCTTTTTCTCTCCATTTCTAACTCCAGCAGCAGCACAGCGCGGTGCTGCAGGATGGACTGCGCTGTCCTGGTGCCGCTCATCCTGTGCTGCTCTGCTGGGCACACAGAGCAACCAGCCAGGACAGCTCAGGGAGTTCAGATTCAATTGTTTTGCTTTTGAAAGTTTTGCTTTCAAGACCAAGAGCAGGGTCCATCTTCCCTAGAAAATTCTGTGCTCGTTAAATGACCTTGCGCCTCATTTGCTGGATCCATCTGCAACTCAGTGAGGTTTTGTATCTCTTTTTCATCTTTTTGGAAGCATGGGAGAGGCCCATCCAGGGATTTCAATGGTTTCTCCAGTGGCTAAAATAAGCCCCTCTTCACATTAACATACTGCATTCTGTTTCCTCTCGGTAGGTCAGCGCATCCTACTATCCTGCTCCAGGATCACTGAGGCACTCAGCAGCCATCGTCACTCTGCCCCACCTGCAGCATCACCTCTCAGCCAACATGTACGTAGTGTGAATCGTGCTGGGGGTCACACAGCACTCCGCACTGCATCCATGCCTCTTCCCAGCCCAGTTGCTCCCTGGGCTCCTGCCTGCAGGAGGGGCATTGGGGTGCAGGGCTGTGTGCCTGGGGCTGGGGCCATGCATGGGTGTCTGCATTTCTGAGTAGGAACTGCACAGACTGCTGGGGCAGCTGACCCTGAAGGTTGTTGTAGGGGTATGACAGGAATTTAGGTACAGTACTGGAAAGATTTGAGACAGATTCTGACTGTTCCTGTTGCTACTGCCCAGGCAGAGCACACATCTGCACTCCTCGTGGTGCTTTGCCTTAGGCCAGGTGCTCTTTAGTCCTCCATGCCCTATGCCACTGGGTACCTGTGTGGTAGGATGGCACAGCAGCATTCTTCTTGCTCATTGCCCTTGGCTGGTTGCCTACTGCTTCTGAGAAAGATGCTGTGACAAGATCTACTTTTCTTCAGTCCTGTTGGCCCTTCTTTTATTCATACCCCCTCTGGTCAAACCCTGCAGGCAGGCTCTTCACTGTGAGTTATCTCTGCAGTAACAGCAGCACCCCATGAGCTGTGCAGGGCTGCAGGGGGACTCTTGTGCATGCAGGGCCCACAGCACACAGCCCCACACCGCAGACAGCGCTGCAGGCACTGGGCACAAGGACAAGGCCCCCCCACGTCCCCGTGTCTCCACAGCTGCATGCCTCTCCATCCCTATGTGGGGCACGGCCCTGATGAGCTGAAGCTGCAGAAGGGTGAAGGGCTTCACGTCCTGGGGCAGCACCACAACGGCTGCCTGCAGGGCGCCTCGCTGGCCAGGGGCAGTGCCGGCATCTTCCCCAGCAGTTCCTTTGCTCCCCTCCTCAGGTCTGATTTTCCTTGCATGGAACCAAAGCAGAGGGATGGGGAACTGTAGGACGCAGCCTTCTTGCTCCCACGGTGATGTCACTGCTTTAGAGCAGGCATTCAGATGCTGGAAGCCATGGATATAACTGAGTGAATGCATTAGGAAGAGCAATCATTAAAATATACGCTTACTTTAGGAGAGAAAAAAATTGCCCGTGCCCTCAGTTTCCCCGAAATACACCCAGGTTGGGCAGAGACCCGGCCACGGGCTCACAGTGCACAGTGTCTGCACAGGGAACGTGGGGGAGCCGTCAGGAAACCTCACCCTGGACTCGCACTGAATTATTTGGAGCAGCAGCGCCCAGCCCTGCAGGGAGGCGTCCGCGCGGACCCCACCTCGCTGGGACCGGAGCCGGCGCTGCAGCGGAGGACTTGACGGCGCTGAGCTCCAATGCGCGCAGCGCCGCGTTCCTCCACCACCACCTGACGTTCTGCTCCTTCGCCAACAGGAAGCCGAGCGTGCCCGACTCGAAGTTGCCCGCGCTGTACGCCTCGTGGACGCTGTCGGCCTCGTCGGTGTCCTCCCAGGGCAGCGCCTCCGAGAGCGCGCAGCGCCAGAGCCGAGCGCTGAAGGCAGCGCTGCCCCTGGGGCACACGGCGCTGCGGCGCGGCCGCGGCTGCACCAGGAAGAGTGAGTGCGGGTGGGCGCTGGGATACGGGCGGTGCAGCCCTACGGGCGGTGCGCCGTGCTTGGAATGCGTGCAGCGATGCCCGAGGTGCTGCCAACGTGCTGCTGTGGGGAACTGCGAGCCCCGGTTGTGCGAACAGCACCGGGAGCTGCGTTGGTTTTGGTCCTCTGAAGAGAGGTTTGGGGGTTGTCACAGAGGACCCTGAGAGCTCCGCGTGCACAGGCGTTTACAGAAGGTTAAATTAAGGTATTATCAGGAGTTATCAAGAAAGAAGCTCAGAACAGAAGGGTAAAATTCAGCAGTGCCATTGTAGGAGTGCTGGTGAGCTCATATCCTGAATACTTCTCATATTCTGATAACTCAAAGAGAATAGAGTAAAATTAGAAATAAGCATAGGAAGGATGAGCAAGAGAATAGAATAATTCTATTTCAGGAGCAAAGTTTTACAGCATGGAAATATCCAAGATGCACGAAGTCATGAATAGGCTGCAGGTGGAAAGGTACACCGCCTTGGAACAGCTTTCTGAATGTGTTTGAGCAGCCACAGCACGCTGCCCAGGTTGGGGTGCAGATGGACAGCCATGCTGGCTGGGACCTGGCTCATTTGCAAGAGCCACTGTTGGAGGCTTTAGACTTAAAAGCTGTTTTGCTGTAGAGAACCCCACGCACCTGTGGTGGCTCTTATTAAAAAATCAATCTTGTAAACAGCGAGGCACTGACAAGGAAATTAAGTGTGCGACTTCCAGTGCTGCAGCCTGGAAAGCAGCTGCCAGATGGAGCAGCCAGTGCAGAGCAACCAATGGCAGCAAACCGTGGGGGAGGGCTCGGGTGCAAACTTACAGATGTACTCGGCCAAAAGCACAACGGTAGAGGATGGGGAATGCCAGGCCTGCGGGGTGCTGCTTCCCCCACGGCACCTCGGGGGGCTCCATGCAGGACCACGCAGGGCAGTGCTGGGAGTACATCCTGCAGGGCTGTCTGCCCCCCACTGCACGCAGCTGCCCCATGCCTTCCCGCTGGGACCCCGCTAACCACTCTGCCCTGCCCTCCCCTTTTCTCACCCCCAGATGGGTCCCTGCAGAGGCCAGGGCAGGCAGGGCTGCAGGCTGCCAGCTCCCTCCGCCGCGTTCCCACGGCCGGGCTGCAGCCGTACCCACATGCTGGCAGCTCACCGCACAGCAGCCCCGCTGCCGGCACAGCCGAGATGGGCGCGAGGCCCAACTTCTCCCACGAAGCCCTGCCAGCACTCGTGGTCAGAGGAGGGGAAAGCAGGACTCCATCTGTCTGCAGTTCGGTGATCCTGGACACCACGGAGCCTCTGGCAAAGAGTGAGTCGGTGCCCCGGCCACCCGCATCGGCCCCGCCATCCATCCTGGTGAAGCCGGACACCTCCCGTAACAGCAGTGACAAGGTACAGAGTGCTGCCCACGGGCCGATGGGTGCTACTGGGGTTGGTGCCTGCCTTAAACTGTCAGATATTGGTGCTGCTGACTCTGCTGTTCAAATTAAGCCCTTCAGAAAGGCAAAGTGCTGCAGGGTGTCCTTCAGAAGTGGCCGGTGTTCATTGGTTCAGTGGCAGTAATCAAACTTTGAGGCTTTCTGAGGTCTTATATCAGGCCCCCTCACTGAAGTCCCCATAAATCACAGAACCATTAAGTCTGGAAAAGACCTCTGATATCTGCAAGTCCTACCCCAACCCACCCCTGCCATGCCTGCGGACCATAGAACGGCTTGCAAACCCCCAAACCAACCCCCAAACCACAAGGGGAGCCACCAACCTCCAACCACATCCCCCCTATGCCATATCTCCACAGTTCTGGAACACCACCAGTGTCAGTGACTGCCCCACTCCCTGGGCAGCTTGCTCCCACCTGACTGGTCTTTCAGAGACATCATTTCTCCTTATCTCTCGGGTACTGAAAGAGCAAACACCAGAGCTGGGTGCCGAGCCCCGCACTGGGCTGCTCGCTGCAGAGCAGGACAAAGGGAACGCTTTCCTGCCCTCGCCCCCATGACAGCTCTCCCTCCCCGGGGCCCCCAATAGGTCCGTGGTTGACAGAGTGGTGCTTGGGGCTCCCGGTGCTCGAGGCGGGCGCCACGCCGCCCCTCGCGGTGACGCGATGCTCTCCTCGCAGCAGGTGAAGACGGTGCGGTTCCAGAACCACAGCCCGCCGCCCAAGCGGCACGGCCCGCAGCCCTCCCCGCGCCTGCCCCGCAGCAGCACCGAGTCGGCGCTCGCAGCTGAGCCCCCGCCGCCCGACGGGAGCCCCGAGCCGCCCGCTCTGCCCTCCCCGCGCCTGGGCAGCAGCCCCCTGCATCCCCGCAGAGCGCTGCACCCGCGGGCGGCATCGCTGGAGCTGTCAGCGCCGCTGACCTTCCCCGTCAGGAAGAGCTACAGCAGCGTCTCCGCCAACTGACAGGTAGTGCCCGCAGCCCCGCACCCATCTGCCCCTCCCGGGGGTGGTGTGGAGCTCGGGGACCCCGGAGGGCGGTGACACGGAGCAGCTGCTCGCGCAGGGAACGGGGATGAAGCGGGACGGGAGGACGGGCACAGCGGAACGGCGCTGCGTGCTGCGATCTCCTCGGGGCCACAGCTGTGCCCACGGGGATCCAAGCAGCAAATGTCACCTTCCTACAGGATGGGGCTCCGGCTCACGTGCTCCTCATTGGTGTTGAGACCACCCGTGCCCACCTGACACAATGAACATCGGATCCAAAACTGCTGTAACGTCACATCCATCGTTAATCACATTCCAAACCCGTGGAACTAGCTTCATTGGTGACGCAAAACTCACCAAGGCCCTAGAGCAGCCCCAGCAAAGGAGCCTTTGGAACAGAGGGACTGACAACTGTCCGTTATCCCACAGGCTTGGCTCTCTCAGACCCTTTCTCTTTAAGCAGCAGAAAGGGATTTCCAGCAGTACTGCATCCTTTGCCCGCTGCTCTCAGGTACAGGGGGCAGTGCAGGCAGAGAACAGGACGCCCTCATTGTCACTGCACAGCCCAGAGCAAACACCAGCGCTTTGCCGAAGGTTCCTCTCATCCCCTTAAAAATAATCCAGAAACCTCAGCAGCTCTACAGCCAGGAACAACTGCCCCCTCCAGACATGTCCAGAGGTGAACAGAACCGCACAGCGCCCCAGGCCAGCCGTGACAGTGATTTACACACACAGCAGCCACGCAGCGCTCCTACCAGCCCCTGCTCAGAACACTATTCCCCCTGCCAGGACAAACAGCACCGAGGCAGCACTGCACAGAAGAACACTGCAATGCTGTGCAGCCCGTTGTGTGGTGCTGAGACTTCACACAGTGCTCCCAATCCACTGGGTGATGGCAACCACTGAGCATCCATCTAGCTGCTGGGGGAAGGAAAGGCTCTGCCACTGCATGTGAACAGCTGTGGGCAGCGATGGGCAAAGGCACCGAGTGGAAGGGCTGTTTTGGTAAGAGCAGGAGGCCGTTCTGGGACAGATCCCAGAGCTCCTGGCACAGGGTATCCCTGCTTTGATGCTATTCCCTCATCCAAAACACGGAGGGAGAGACAACCGAAAACAGGGCGCCACTTACAGCAACAGCTCTAATCGGTGCTGTCAAGCTGCTCCCAAGCTGCAATGAGGGTGTCAAGCTGCAGTGAGGGTGAACCCAGCTCCTCACAGCACCTGGGCTGCATGCTGCACTGCGGGATGGAGGCTCTCATGGGACGTTCCTCCCAGCCCCAGGCTGAAGGAGGCTGTAGGAGCAACAGGAGCAGTTCCAGGGGCTGCCAGCAGCAACACTCCAAGGCCCAGGAACTGTTTCCAAGTGTTTTATTACCCAACCTGATCCTGTTTAGTTTTCCTTAAGCCACCAAGGCAGCGCCCAGAAAGGCAAAAACCCAGCCCCAGAGCAGCAAGTCCACATGTGTATTTATCAGTATTTTAGAGGGCTGGCTTACTGCTGAATGGCTCGAGGTGCGTTTATGCAAAATACTTGTATCACACATAATTATAGCTATAGAGACTTTAGGTTTCCCTTTTCCTTTTCTCCTCCTTCCCCAGCCACCCCTGGGCTCAGTATTTCCCTAAGAGGCCCCATTTCAGAGCAGGCAGCACTCAGCCCAGCTGCACGGCTGGACCCCACACCCCCAGCAGCCCCATGGGGTTGGGTGCTGACAGGCGGACAAAGGACCATTTGTATCAAACCTCTGAGCTGAATGCTTCCTGAAGTCAGACAGTAACTGACTGCGCTCATCGGGCTGTAAATTTTGATGTCTTTCTGCACTGAGCCCAGCAAACGTTGCAGGGAAATGTTACAGTCTTATTACTATGAATGAGAGCACAGGAGGGACTGTTTTACACGTGTATGTTTAGAAACAGCTGTATATAATCTTTTCTTATTTGGTGACGGGCAGGAAGAGCAAACAGAACACTGACATTTACCTTAGGGTTGAAAGGCACCTGTACAAATTCAGCAACGCTCAATATTTTTTTCCATGGTGTGAAGTTCATTTTTTAAAAAGGCTTTTTCAATTTAACGTACCACTAAGGAGAAGAATGAACTCAATAAACAAAAAGATATCCGCCTCCTGGTCTGCGTTCATCTTCAAATATTTGTTTTCTATTTCTGTAACTGAAAAACAAAAGGTTTGAAAACACGTGAAGTTTCCAAATGTTTACTTACGTGCGTTGGACAGCACAGCACTCTGCAATCTGCAGGAGGGGTCAGAGCATCAGCGCGTGGCGCAGGGCAGCACGGGCCTGCAGCACGGCACGGGGCAGAGCAGAGCAGAGCAGAGGCATGCCACGCACCAGACAGGGGCGACCCATCCTGCAGGGCTGCTGCACTGCTGTTGCACCACATGCACACCCAGCCCCACGCTGGAGCCCATGCACACTGCAGGTGTGCACTGAGCACCCATTCCCCTCACATAGCAGAGCTGGGGAAAGCAACGCAATCCAAGAGACCCACCTGCTGCCCGAGGAACAGAACATGAGAAGCAGCAGACTTTGTCCCGTTAGATGCATATCTGACACCCTGTGGCAGAAAAGCTGCAGTGGGGGGGGGGAAGTTGGGGCTGCCCAAAGCTCTGCACGGAGCACAGAGCCAGCACAGCACACCCAGTGCCACATGGAGCAACGGGAGATCCTGCCCTGACCTCCCCACAGCCCCATTCTGACTGCCCAGGGCTGATGGAGGCACTGAATGCTGCCCCCCTCTGTGCCCAGTAACTCACAACAAAGGTCAGGCAAAGCTTCGAAGGTGGGGAGACAGCACTGAAGAAAAACTGTTACTGCTTTAAACAAAATAACGATCCCACACAGACTGCTGCTGCCACAGTCAATAATTCTCTCTTCTGCTAGGAGAACCTGCAGGGATTAATAAACTCTGAGCCGAATTCCTGAGCAAAAGGGGATCCTGCATCAGCAACATGGTGCTGCAGCACAACGTGCAACGCTGAGCAGCCATTCCCATCACCCAAATGGTTTCCATATGGATCTTCTTACCATTTCTTACCATTCTTACCATTATCATTTACAATGGTAACCAAGGATCAGCTCCTAACCTCAGCCATGGCTTCAGAGCAGGAAGAGCTGCTCCCAGGCACAGGGGCTGCCATTTATAAACAGCTTTGTGAGGGGAAAAAAAGAATTCAGGTTTTAGCCTTTATTTTAAAAGCCTAGCATGGAAGCTTTCATACTTGTACCTCAAAGTTCACCACTACTGAGCTGATTCTGACCTGCTGGTCCATATGGTAATGCCCTCGTGCTGTTCAGTCACTGAAAAGCAAAGTACAGAAGTCTGTAAGTGACTTTTCCCGTCTATTAGAGGAGATTCATGACCAACTTCTCTGCCTGGACCCCAGTTTGGCTGGGAGAGAAAGGAGTGCTAAGCCTGATACTCTACTGAGCACACAGACCCCAGCTGGAAAGGAAGATTTGCCACATTGTTTGGGAAAATTGTTTATTTTCAAAAAAACCCAAAGGGCCAAAGGAAAATAATTCCATTATATCCACATTTTAAAGAGTGGAGATAAACTCGCATGCAAAAAAGGCATTGTTTTGTGTGGGCTTTTTTCTTTTTTGAAGAACAAATTCACATCTCTGTCACAAACACTTTCAGAGTCACTCCATGAGCTCTCTCCCTCTCAGCCAGGGATGAAGCTGCACACAGGCAGCTCAGTGCACCAGGTACACCATGGTGTCACCGATGTCCCTCCTCAGGCCGCTCTCTGTGACGCACACACGTTTCTCAGCCAGGTCGATGTGGAAAACTGCCTGCTCTGGAATAGCAGTTTTCTCTGCTTCTTCTTTGCCGAGGACTGGAACACGGCGAGGCCCAAGAACCGGATCATCAAACCTCATCAGCTTCACTTTAGAGAGATCTGCAATACAACCACAGCTAATGAGGACACATCTACACACAGACCGCGATGCCCAGCTCATCACAGCAGCACTGAACACGTGGCCCTGCTAGAGATCTTCTCCATGGAGATACACTCCCAAAGACTTGGGCCCATTAGAAGATGCCATTCAGCAGGCACAGAGCAAACTGTAGAGAGACAGCATCTGTCTGTTTTATCTCCAAGTCCCCCGGCCCCGTTCCAAGCATGTCTGCCTTTTTGCTCTCGTGTCAGCTGTGAGTGACTTAGCAGTGCTTTTGTTTCGAGGAATTAATTTCAGAGACTGGGGGAAAGGAACGGGAGAGTTTTTGTGAAATACAGTTCCTTTTTAGGTTCGCACCAGCAGAAGACTGCTAAGCAGACCAGAAAAAAACCCAGGATCTTTCAGTAACGCCTTCCTCCAAGCACTGCCTCTCTCTCCTGTGCACCGACAGAACAGTGACACCTTCTGGAAGAGATGCAGAGCTGGAAAGAGTCACTTCTTCCCAATCATCTCAAATTATTCACCTTGCAGCAGGGCATTAGATATACATATCTACACCTACCTGGTGTAGGGAACCTGCTTTGGCAGGGGGGTTGGACTCAATGATCTCTGGAGGTCCCTTCCAACCCCTACAATTCTGTAATTCTGTGATACACATCTCTATGTGTACAGCACATTGCCCTCCGCATGCATTTTGCTACACACAAGTTATCATGTACTCCCCCTGTGTGCATCACCATCCATCAGTGGTTACCTTTGTTTGACAGATAAACGTTAATATAAACACAAGATACAGAAAAACGAGGTTCTGCTGTCAGAACCTTTTGGATTCAGCCCAGTTTTCCACTAACATTCAGCTCTACGGTGATTCAGATTTGCTCCATTCCTACTTTCTGCACTCCTCAACAGAACCACAGCTGCTGTTTCCTTAGGAAAGCTGTTTCCTTCCGGGCAGAGACCTTTCTGAGCCACGGCTGCATCTGTACTGCACCCACACTGTGCCACTGACACAGCAGCTCTGTGCCCACCTCCCCCATCATGTCAGCTCCAGGATT